GAATGTTCTCTTGCTGACATTTTTCAAGACGTGTTTCACTTTTTAGATTACTGTTTAATTAGTATTAAAGCACGACCGGAAATGCCTTTGTATGCTTTGTAAATAACGAGGGCTGGGTGAAAAGTTCTAAACCATACTGTGTAAAATCATACGAAGTCGATTGTTTTCATTTACTTATCTACATAGTCCCATTCCATTCTGAAATTCTGAGGGCCAAATCAAGCTATATAAATCATGGGCATGATGACGCAAAGAAAATGATGCGTTTTCTTATCCGCTTTCAAGATCTTTAGCACCCATCTTTCAGATTGGTAGGTTCACAAGATGGTCTACAAAGACAATAATAACACCAAAGTTGCAGTTCTTTGTCTATGATTCATTGATGTGTATTTTGTTGGTTTCAAGAGTTTGTTTCAGTCCTATTCAGTCAATCCTCGTAAATAAACAGCATTTTAAAGGCTCGGGCTCAAAATGGGTGTATTCCACAGGTTAAAATAACTTAGTATCCAAAAATCCTAAGACTTTAAAAGGTTTCTATTTTAGTACGTATGTAGTAAAACATGACATTTTACGTTTTAAATCCCTATCAAATGCCTCAAGTAGCATATTATTTTGTGACAGTTAAAGTAAAAATGGTTATTCAAATTAACATAAAACATAAAACCCAATCAACGAACCGACGCCCCTGATGGTGTTCTAAAATAAGAAGATGAATAAGTGGTTATTCCGGCCATAAACTATACAAACTTCACATAAATATTGCATCTTTTGCCTGATTTACGAGTTAAAGCTTACAAGATTAAGAGTACAATAGTGCAGATTGGAACTGCCGTAGAAGTTTTCTCCCCGAGTGCAGTCTTGTTCAGTAAGCATGTTTATTTTTTCATTAACACCCAAATTTGTCCAGGGATTGTTTTGATTGCGGTCACTACCGGGTACGTACCAGCGCGTTCTTAAAACGTGTTGATCGCGCGAAGTACATCTGTGATTATTCCCGTTTTTGACCATTGTCGAGACTCAACGGTGGCAATTGGAGGTGATTCAGGACGACAATGGGGCTGATCAAAATAACGTTTCATCGGGGTCAATGTCCAGATTGGGTCGATTGGCAAAAACAATCTTTGGTAACATTAGAGTATTATAGAAAAATATGTTTTTTCGCTGAAATATCATCCACTTGGAACTTAATCCTGGACATTAATTCAGTCACATACTACTATAGGAAATACTGGTATGATTTTTAAATCGTTCAAGATAAATTTTTCATGACATGATTTCCAAAGGCAGTTGGGACAAGTTTATTACTGTCGGCTGTCAAAATATCCATTAGCGGCTGGAATAGAGGAAGATGTTTCGGTCTGGTTTTTTACATTTACTTATTAATGTATAAAAATTCCAATTCAGTTATTGTGATAAACAATTCATGTGTACATTCAAAATACGTGAAAGTGAATCACAAAACAAAAATACATCTACAGGTGAAACAACAGAATGTGTCACGCTCATAGGTTTTATTTCTTTTTTTAACATTTTTATTGACCTCCAAGCAACTTGTATTTTAACTTCATGATTGGCAACTATCTTGTTAAAAAATGACGAAATCAGTGGTGCGTGGAGTATAAAATAGACTCAACTATTAATAAATAATTTAAACCGAAGTTGAACGGTGCTTGGTGTCGCCTAAATTAGTTAATGGTTTACGCCTTTACATCTTGGCTGCCAACACCACACTATACCCAGGCTTCTCCATTCCAATTATTTTTTCGGATTTTCTATGATTCTGGTTTCAGTTTGATATCAAGATGAAGTTTCAGGTGTTGCTTTTTGGAACCTTGCTTCTTGTGGTACCTTCAACCAGTGATAGTGATTATGGTAAGTTTCAATAATTTCTGATGAAATTTGCAAATTTCGGACGTTCAAATCTGATGGATTGTTGGACACGCAAGCAATACATGTGCTATAAATTGTGTCCATCTTCAACATCTCTGTGTCAATCGTAATTATTGAAAGGGATTGTAAAGCGGTTTTCTTACTTTTTTTTATGTGCACCAGGGACACCGATAGCATCAATTTGCACCATTCCAATTTTCAATCAGACGTCTGTGGTTCCTGCAATTCCATTAAAACTAAGTGTCTGATGACATCACAAATCGCGAAGGGTGATAAAGCATATTTTGCGATTAGTGAGTCATCAAACACTTTACAATCCCTTGAATGCGCCTCCTTTCCCCAATAAGCAGCAAGAAAGAGGACATATCACTTATAAATGAACAATTAGCATTGCTACCTGCGACAACTCAGACATTAAAACCAGTTGTCAGTTGTAATTAACTGTTTTTCTAGAAAGAGTAATCTCATCATGACCGTCAGTCCGATTAACGCCTGTGCCTCAATGTCAACATCGGTCCACTTTTTATGTTTCTGGTTCTTTACCTTTTGGAGTTGGCATACTTTCATACCAACTCACCCAGCTTAATCCAAGTGGAATTGACCAAATTGATCAAAAGTCGTGCGATTTGGAACAATCTAACCACTGATGATAAAACAAAAAACAAGTTTATTATTGTATGTCTTTGGAGGCCTATCTAGTACGCCATGTACTAGTATCACAAATGGGAAATAAAAATCAACATGAATGTATTAACGTGGAAATCTTCAGAACAAATAAAAGTGAGCTATCTGAAGAGAGGTCAGTTCGGGTGCATCTCCAAATATTTAGTATATGGCAGGCCCACGTAAGCGCCCAAGGCCCCAAAGATCTCAAATCCAGTTTAAGCTAATCCGGCTCATTGATATATTGCAGATCCAGGCGTAGTGTCGGCCATGATGTGGATGATGAACGGCGGTAGCAGGGGTGGAGGAACAAGTCCAGCCAGAAATAGAAACTCTCTGGCATCAACATTGGGGTAAGATTTTTATTCCACAAAAAGGATGATGCAGATTCCGTGGTTGAGTCTGCCATCTGATCTTTGACCCAAAGGCAATACTATATATTTTTTACTGTCAGATAAGCTTCAGGACCAATATTATTGAAAGTCTGCACTTCAGCATTTTTTTTGTTACTCATGATAGCAACGATAGATAAAAACATTCCGACCTGTGTGCACGCATTATTTTCTCTCCATGAATGTTATTAGTAGACAACTAATACAAATAGATACAAATACCTGTCTATTGTACCAAATTTAAGCTGTCAACAGTGGCGGCGCTAGTCTTCTGAGCACTTCCTGTGTACAAATAGGGGACAGAATGACTAAATCGGCGGACAACTGTCGGGATAGGACAACACTGCGGAAGTGCCCTAGACGCAAGCCTCAAATGAAGCATCTTGAAAGGAGTTTCTACTCTGAGATATATTTCTGGGAAAACACATATTAACAAAAAATATTTTTGAATTTGTAAGAAATGAAGGGCCAGGGGTATACAATTGGGGGTACAAATCATTTTTCTAAGGGATAAATGCCACTTCTGTACCCCAACTAGTGCCGCCACTGGATGTCGAAATGACAGACTTTGGGGGGCTCAGGTGTCTCTTAACAATCTTGATCATTCAACTTTCAGGAAAACAACTTCGTGTACGGACGCTAAGGGAAAACAATATCGCACAGCAGATGGAACATGTAACAATGTGAACAAACCAACTGTCGGTAGTTCTATGGATAAATTTAAACGAGACGTTAAACCCCAATATGATGATAGTAAGTAAGATGATTGGTATTCGTATGATCCCCTATTTGGAGATATGAACAAGTGAGGTCATTTTTACTGTTAGCATCAAGCCCTGAATTACCACTGAGGTTGGTGTTGTTGCCTTGGATGCCTAATATCACACAACGGCTTACTTGGCATCATTTTATGTAGAGTTCACATGCCTAATAATGCTTATTTTGTGTATTTATCATGTAATTGCATAACTTGATAACATGATTTTATTTTTTTTAGAAAAAGGTGACCCGAGAACTAAAGGCAGATGTTTGTACAAAACTGAAAAGGGTTGTTACCGTCCTGATTTACCTAGTGCAAGAGCCATCAGTGTTGTCGTTCATTCTAAACAAACATCAGTGGATGACGACAGTAGTAAGAGTAGTGCAGTAAGCCCCAAAATGCCTTCTATGGGAAATTTACAATCTTTGGGAAATCTTCTTTCATTGGGAAGTGTACCTGTACCTGCACCTGCACCTGCACCTGAACCGGTATCTGCACCTTCTGTAGACATAGCACCAGCTCAGCCCGTGGCCGGTCCTTCGATCACCGATTTATTGGGATTAATGAGTATCATACAAAAGCCTAAATCTAAACCTAAGCCTAAACCTAAACCAAAACCACAACCAAAGCCACAACCTGAATCAAAACCAATCCTATCACAAGGCGCAATTGGTGATATTCTTGGTTTACTAGGAACACTCGTTGCATCTCCTGAAAAAGAAACACCGGTCAGTTCCCAACCTGATGACTCGATTAGTGGACTAATGGGTAAGGTTGATGAACCCAGAATCAGAACTCCCAAAAAATCTCCAAGAAAGAAAGCAAGACAGAGCATTTTCAGGAGAAGAGACGATAGAAAGGATGATAGAAAGGGTTTGCGAGGCACAAAAGGACGAAGAGACGATAGAGATGACACTGACAGAAAAGATAGAAGACGAGGTGGCCGTAGAAGGAAACCAAGTAGACGTGGTAGCCGAAAAGACGACCGTAAAGATGATCGTGGTGGGAGACGAGGAAGAAAAGACGACCGTAAAGATGATCGTGGTGGGAGACGAGGAAGAAAAGACGACCGTAAAGATGATCGTGGTGGGAGACGAGGAAGAAAAGACGACCGAAAAGACGACAACGGTAGAAAAGGAAGACCATCCCGAAGAAAAGACGATAAGGGAGTGGATGATGGCAGAAAGAAACCAGATATAGTCGGAGAACCCGATAAACCGACCACAGGAGATATTACAAAACCTGGCAAGAGTGGGCCTGATGGATCGATTAGTGGTCAGAAAGGAATGGTTGGAGAACCAGAGGTTAAGAGACCTGATACATATTCCCCAAGAGACAAACAACCCGATAGCAAAAAACCAGATGGGACCATTAGTGGTCTTAAAGGATTGGTCGGAGAACCCGACAGATACTCCACAGTAGGCAGTCAACCTGGTATATATCCCCCAATGGACAGTCAACCTGGAATATATCCCCCAATGGACAGTCAACCTGGTATATATCCCTCAGTAGGCAGTCAACCTGGTATATATCCATCAGTAGGAAGTCAACCTGAAAGATATTCCTCAGTAGACAGTCAACCTGGTATATATCCCTCAGTAGGCAGTCAACCTGGTATATATCCCCCTGTTGGCCGTCAACCGGATACATATTCCCCAGTAGGAAGTCAACCTGAGAGATATTCCTCAGTAGACAGTCAACCTGGTATATATCCCCAAGTAGAAAGTCAACCTGGTATATATCCCCAAGTAGACAGTCAACCTGGTATATATCCCTCAGCCGACAGTCAACCTGAGAGATATTCCCCAGTTGGTAGTCAGCCCACTATAAACATCCAAGACAAATCTGTAAGTGGACTCATGGGCATGGTTGGAGAACCAGCATCTGGCTCCCCAACAGTAAGACCAGGCCCAGTGGGAAATTCATACACGAAAAGAAGCCAACACACTGATTTGTTGAGGTTATTTACTCTCTTCATTGAACACGAAGTCACTGCTACAGCTGTAGAAGCCAGTAAGTTGAGATAATATTACAGTTTGGTAAAGGCAGGAGGGGGTAGTTTTGGATGATTCGGCTCTTAAATCATTACTTACAAAAAAGAATCGAAATAACCTGGGAAAGCATTGCTATAGAAAAAGGCCGGGGAAAGATTACTCTTGTATCTTCAAATCTGCAGGTTTTTATTAGAATACAAACGAACGGAATTTCAGAAAAACAAACAAATATATAGAAAAAGTCTTTCAGGTTTTCTCAAATAAAATATGATTGTTCTATTAAAATGGGCACAATTTAAAATCACATTGAATTCTGACTGTTTGGATCTCTATTGATCTGTAACCAACATTTTAAATGGGGCAACTCGGAAATGAATCGTACAATATTTCCTGATTGAAATTTTGATATTTTTAAAAATACCTATTAATTTTATTTTAGATCAGAAAATGACAGACTGTTGTAATACAGCTAAATCAAGGTAGAGAAATGTTATTTCTTTTTGGTCATTTTTATTACATTTATTTTCATATATATTATGGACCTATTATATCAAGTAGGCACGGATCAGGCTATAGGAGTGGATTGTTGTCACTATATTTGATTGATCTATGATGAGGTCTTGAACAATAAGATTCATCGTGAATGGAAGGAATTCTTAAAGCTTCCATGCTCTAATAACGCTAAGATTAAAACATGGGTAAGATGTATATAAAAAAAGATGCCACCTAATGACTACATGGTCCCATAGACATTAATTAATGACATTGAACTTATGGTATCGCCAGACGTTCTTGAGTCACCAGTGACTACGTTGTCGTATCACACTTTCGGAACACCTGACGTCGATCGTGGGCTCGGCAACCTTAACGCAGTGTCAAATAGCTAATCTTGTTTATTTTGTTTATTTATTTCACCAATCATGGTCTATTTCTCTCAAGAACGAACCCTATTGAAATTCGATGTACTTTGAATGTGAACTATTTTTGTTTTTCAGCACTAATTGTTTCCCTATTCCAATCCCTGTAAACGATCGTAGATTCAAAGAAAAATGTATGATCTTTGTTCGATCTCGATCATTCAGCAGCACGATAGGTAAGAATCTCAATTATGTGAAAAATGAATAAGATATTCGTAACGTGTATCTCTTGCATGTCCAATTCTTGGAGTTTTTTAAAATATAAAAATCGACTATACCTTTCTTGTCAAATAGGATCATTTAAAGGGATTATAAAGGGGTTTTCTTAATTTTTCATATGTATCTGGGACACTGTTAGCATCAATTTTCACCATTCCAATTTTCGATCAGACGTCTGTGGTTCCTGCAATTACACTAAATCTAAGTGTTTGGTGACGTCACTAATCGCAAAATATGTTTTAACACAAAAGGCTCTTACACATACAAATTTTAGAAAAACCTTTTTACCATCTCTTTAAGGCGTCTTTTTTTGTTGTTCTATAAATTATGATATGGTGTTTCAGCAGACTTTTGCACTTTGAGTCTTCGTAATACACTACAGAGGTTATATTCATACTCATTGAAGGTTTTGGAAATTTCTTATAAGTCTTTAATCTACTATGAATTCAGCTGATAGTTGCTTGATAATATAGCTATGATCATTAGAGAAACCAGTAACATCTCAAGGATAGGAACGATTGAAGAAACAGATGCATAATTCTACCATTTCATATTTTAGACATGAAACATCCACGAGAACAACAGAATATGATATCAGCCTATATAGATGGTTCCGCTATTTATGGCAGCGATCTTGCGACACAAAACAGTCTCAGAGATGTCAATGGTAAGTCCTTGAAATATTTCAACCCTTGGCACACTTGTATTTGAGAGCCATAAACTGTCGCAGTTTGCCACCCATTTGACCAAAAGTATTTTATTCTCATAGTCTGGAATATTTAAACTGTGCTAATCAAAAATAATGTTGACAGTGTCATATATATATAGAGTAGAACGTTAGTTTTAGTTCGTACAGTTCTAGTGCTTCTGAAGACTTCATATATTCATTTTAGGTTACATGTTGACATCTGAAGAAGATTTACTGCCTCTTGGTGATGAAAAATACTGTCAAATGACCTACAACAGATACTTCTGCTTCCGATCAGGTAATTAATATTGTTGCTTTTGTTCTTGTACATATGGTTAAGATTTAAATTATTGAACTTGGTATAGAGCTCAGTAGTGCTCGAACATGAGCATTCAATATGTCGACACGCAATTTGTGGTGAAACTTGGTGAAATCGTAAATCATCACCTAAAATTTCAGTGAACTCGAATTAATTTTATTGTTCTATAAAAAGCGTTTTACTTTCAATTTGTAAACAGTCTCGGAAGCATGCTGTCAGCGTACAATAAAACGCGGTTATTACTCCAAAATGTCTTATTATGAAAAGTAAATAATAGAAAATATATTTGACTTGATTTGTTACCCCAATCTTCGGTCTTCAGAAGAACTTCGATTCGTTTATGTTAAATACCCTGAAAAAGGATGATTCAAGTTTTTTTCCTAGTGCAGTAATGAATATGCTAAATAGCTCATGTTGCTGGTGGTTGCCATTCTTCAAATGTAGACGCATTTAAAAAGATTTGATTCTGGTACCATACCGTCTCATTCGTTGCGTTTGTGACTGTGGCTATCATACGTACTTTTATTTTAAGGTGATGATCGTCTGAATTTACAACCTGGTTTAATCATCATTCATACTTTATTTGTAAGACTTCACAACAAGATTGTGGACAGTTTTGAAAGCTCTTACATGAGCGGTAACAGTAAATTCCAAGAAGCAAGAAGAATAGTCATTGCACTTGTTCAGGTATGTTCGACGTTAGTCAGCCGCAGCAATAGTCATTTCAATTTTTATGTTCTTAACACCACTGTACTATATCATTTGCAAAGGTCATTTCAATCTTCTGGTGTTCGTCATAGCACTTTTCTTTCTCTCGTGTAAGTGCAATGATTGTTATCCATAGCATTGGTCATATCATTCTTTATGTGCGATGTCCGTTATGACACTGTGATAGTCACAGCAGTTACCTGTGTGATATTTCTAGTCCATAGCGATGTTTATTTCTCGATATATAGTCATAGCACTTACTCTGTTATCTACAATGTTCATTTCTAGAAGCCGTAAACATAGTTTTTGTTTTACTTTGTGTAAATGTGGTGATTTTTAGTATTACCCTTAGCAATTGACAACTATGGATTTTCGTACAATTATAGAGATTAAGTCCGGCGGGTTTGAATTTTCCTCGATTATCTGAACTTATTACCATCCATCACATTACGCCTTTTTCATACATCTATGTTTGTTTCCAGAAATTCGTTTATGAAGAATATCTACCCCAAATATTGAACGAAAAATATATTTTGAAATATGGACTCGACAAATATACTTACAAATATGATTCGAGCATTGAAGTGAGAATTTCCAACGTATTCGCTACAGCTGCTATTAAATTCGTTGCTGCTTTATCACCAGATTATATTGACATCCGTGGTCGTAAGATTCGATTGAGGGATACTTACAACAACCCCGAGATGGTATTTGATGAATTACCAGAACTCATCGAAGAAATGTTGCAGCAACCCACAGAAGAAAGAAATCGATTTATCTCCAAAGAACTTACTGATCACTTCTTGGAAGATGGTAGCAGGTCGTTTGATGAAGTTGCCAGCATTATTCAAAGAGGTCGAGATCACGGAGTACCACCTTACAACTGGTTCAGACAATTCTGTGGTCTTCCCATCGTTCGATCTTTCAATTCCAGAGTTTTTGGTGACGCTGGTCCTTATCTTAGAAAAGTCTACAAGTAAGCTTTTAATTGATCCTTCCTTCTTCACTCGGTATTATGGATTTATTGGATAATAGAGGCATTCTAGTATATATTTATGACACCAGATAAGTCCACTCCACTCCACCGATGAACGAATATCGTTAATTTTTTGTAGGAATCTTAGATCAGAGTGCCGATTGTAACATGATGTTTTAATTTTAGGAGTGTTGATGATATTGATATTTATACTGGTGCTATGTCAGAACCCAATCTTCCAGGTTCTCTTTTGGGCGAAACATTCTCTTGTATTTTTGCTCGGCAATTCCGAGATCTGAAATTTGGTGACAGTTTCTTCTACTTAAGCGATGACCCACTTAGAGGCTTTTCAAAAGGTATGTTTAATGAGGAAGCATCGCCTGGCTTTCTGTGCTACAAATCTGTCGTACACATGAATCAGATGAGATCACAGGTGACATTAGTTCTCAGACAAAAAAAAAAAAAAAATAACATTAATACAATCGTTTCGGAATGATTGGAATGAAACGGAATGATTCGATGATTTCTATATAGTCAACTACAGTAGATACTCACATGATTAATACCCAGCTTGATTATGATTTAATTCAGACAGTATTTTCTATTTAAGAACAAAGACGAGAGCTGGATACTATCACATTATCTAAAGCCATGTGCTTTGTGTTTGGATTGGAAGCAGTTCAAATGAATCCTCTCAGAGTACCTTCTGCACAGTGAGTGTTTTAATTTCATAATATCTTATAAGTAACATACTGACAAGGGAGTAAATGTGGATTCGTTCCCCGATGCTGGTCACAGTCTCGACCGTATGGAGTTCAAGCATGGGGTCGGGTGAAAACAGCATTCACCGACGGGAGGTGTGTGGCGAATTTATCCTATGAAATCAGAAGGTACATCTTCTTTAATCTACTTAATAAAGTGACGTCACTTAATAGAATCAAACTTTCTGTGGTTTCAACATTACGTTTTAAATACCTACAGATTTTGTAGATTAAATGGACGTCGTATTTGCTTTCTGACAGTGAGAGGGTAACTGAAGTAGAGTTTCGTACCCTATTAAATATGTCACGCCAATATTTTTTCTACTTGCAGGAACCCTCTAAGTGATTGTGAACAAATGCCATCTTTTTTCTCATTTCTTGAAGATCCATCCGAAGGACCTCGCTCTAATCTCCTATCCCGAGTCTCACAGAGCGAATCTGTAGCTTCCCTATCAGGAATCATGCCACGATTTTTTGATGCCGAATCAGCAGGCCCATCCATGAAAGACAACGGATATGAAGGTGTAGGTAATGTTTTGCCTCCCGCGTTTACCACCAACGGTGTATCTAAAACAGTCGTTGGTGCGTCGCCACGAGGTTCAGAGAGGTTTCGTGACGTCGAAGTAGAAGATCCCGAAGGTGGCTTCGGAATGCCGCTGCCAGGAGTGCCAATACCAAGCATGTCTTCTAATACAGTCGCCGTTTCACAAGGAGACCCTTTGAATGAACTCACACAAATGGGAGGTACGGTAGATGGTGAAGTTGAGGTAGAAGAACCCGAAATACCCGGACCTCAAGAGGGTAAAGCATCTGGTAGTTTGCCGAGGGCGTTTACTGATGGTAGGCAAATGCCACTAGGTTCGTCTCCGGGTTCATTAGGTGGTGTACAAGGAAGTGCCACTCAGCCAGATGCATTAGATCCCACTATTTTACCCGGTGTACCTTTAGATTTACAACCTAAAGCTCAAGACCCCACTAAATTACCTGGTGTTCCAGAATATCTCCAACCAAAACCTAAATCATCTGGTCTGTCTACACAAGGGGCTGTCGGAGGTGAGATGGGCAAAGGTGAAATCGAACTTGAAGATCAACTTGGTTCCCATGGTGTCGCTGGGGGTGCCGTTGAAGTAGGAGAAGCAGAGGGTGCAGCCGGTGGAATTGATGGATCGGTTGGAAGTGGTGGAATGGGAGGAAGTGTCGGAGTAGGTGGAAGTGGTGGAATGGGGGGAAGTGTCGGAGTAGGTGGAATGGGAGGAAGTGTCGGAGTAGGTGGAAGTGGTGGAATGGGAGGAAGTGTCGGAGTAGGTGGAATGGGAGGAAGTGTCGGAGTAGGTGGAAGTGTCGGATCTGGAGGAAGTGGTGGATCTAGAGGCGCAGGAGGATCAGGTGATGATGGAGATGATTGTTGTCAAGATGATTCTAAGTGTTCTGACGACGAGAAACAAAAATACTGCAAAAACTCGGACACAAAGTAAATTTGTTATGATACTTAAACATATTCAGTCCGAACCATGAACCGTTGAAGGTGATATAAAGGAACATCCGCGCTTGATAGACAGTACAGAGCAATTGACGTTCTCAGTGGTAAGTGAATTGGAACTAAAAAAGTCATTAAAATATATTTATAATTGTGTATAAAATATAAGCACCAATGATAATATAATGTGTTTACATAACTGATTATGATAATTGGTATTTATTGTAATTGTTAAATAAAACAATTTAATTAATTGAATTAGTAATCTTTTTGTTATTTGTTGTCAGTACAAACATAATGGATCTTAAACGAGTGCTTATGTAAATTTATGAAATGAGTTGCCAGATTTAGATTTAATATATACCGAACCTAGGCGAGGGCTTTATTTAATCCGGCAACGCATTTAATAAATTTCAACCATTTTTGGCAGGGATAATAACATAGGTTTATCTATTAGGTTTATCTAAAAATCTTTTGAATATACACAATTTAGAAAGTTAACAAAATATTTTGCATATCATCGCCACATAAAATATACGACCTAACTTGCATAGTTATTAATCTGTGCTACGAGTTCATATCGCATTTATGAACCCATGTTATGAACCTGTGAATACTGCTGTTGTGTGATCAATAAAAATTTAATTCTTCCAGAAGTGTCATAATTTAAAGGGATGCTGTTCTCTATATTTTTCAGATGCAGATATTATGACAAATTCGATATTTTGTGCACGTGAAATTTAGACAGTCTTTTATCAATTTATGAAGACTCCAACATTGGACTTTTATTTTTTTTTTGTGATAAACATAACAACATAACAGTGTTTAGAAGAGTACATATCCATTAGTTTTTTTTACATATAATAATAAACACAGTTTTATAAATACAAGTGGAAGCGAAAAACGTAGCAAAAATTATTGGGTATATTTACATAATAAGCATTACATTTCAAGTAAAAAAGGGTCTGGACATCGGGGTTTCCGAAAAGTTGCCGACCGACGGTATTCAACCTTGAGAAAATAAAGATGTAGTCTATCAGTGGCCACTTGGCGATAATTTCATGGATTATATATATAAGGGTTTTCAACCTTTTTCTTTCCATTACCCCTTTCAGGATCCTTGATCGATTGCATTACTCCATATCCCCTTATAAATCTTAACTATTTCGGAATTTTCCCGTAGGCTTGACTTACAATCCCCCCCCCCCCAGCACCCCCCGCCCCATCCCCTCCATTTTTCCCTATTTTTTTTTATCAAAATTACCCCCAGATTGAAAACCTCTGCTCTATGGTACCCAAATAAAGATGGAATGGAACACCAAAATGTTACAAAAACGTCGCATGTAGATTTGCTAATCTGTGTTCTCTAACTGTTGGGAAAACAAAAAACCTTTTAAAAGAACTATACTCTACTATGAGTTAAGTACACTTCTGGTAATATTATCAGGAACATTCGAAATGTTGTTATAGTTGTAAAGAAAATAGTGTGTTACTTGTTATGTATGTATAATATAAAATGTAGGCCTATAAAGAATTCATTAAAATCGACCACAAAGACTGATCACCATAGTTGTTGTAAGAAGGAGAAACTTATGGACAAACATTGTGGTTGCTTCATTTGCACCTTTCTCGGTAGTGGTAGCTTTTGTCGGGATAGATGCCTTGCAGTTCTCCAACATGATAAAAAAACTTTCTTCTTGTGTGTTATTCCTCAACATCGAAGTTTTCATGAGATCATAGTAATCACCTTTCATACAGGCATGGTTCATCAAGAGTTCTATTTTACTTAAGCATTCTGTGGTACATTCCGTAGAACAGTTCTGCCGTATCTCCGTAAACATACCTTGCTTCGACCTGAATTCAACAAAATTACAACCCAAATATTCCTCGCCGCTATACACTGCACAATAGGGTAAGCTCTTCCATGATGTACAGGACGACATCTTTATATTTTCTTTGGGATAATAGGTGAAAAATCCAAAACACATTTCATCACTTGTGGCGTCTCCAAAGTAGGTTACTTGATCTCGATTCTGAGAATTAAATACGCATCTTGTTTTGATGGTATCGCCAGGCAGTAATTTTATCGGGGTTTTATAACTGAAAACAAATGAAGGCAATAATTTGAATTTAATCGAAACTGCGTATACTAACTACCTGATCGACATGTAGATTAATAGTTTCGCGTCGATTTGTGTCAAATTTCAAATGTTTTGAAATCAATGGAGTTTTATATCCTACTTTTCTGTACCCTATGGGCTAATAAAGATGGGCAACGCGATACAGTGTACATTAGCCCACTCTTTTTCGATTTCAAACTTCAATTCAACTTTAAAATTCAAAAATCTTTTTACTTTGCTCAGACAATGGACGCTTTTTTGCCATGTAAGGGGAAAACTGACAAGGGGAAACTGATAGGTTAGTGAGCAAGCGTCTCACTGAGTCACCGCGGTTCCCTATCAAATTTTCAATGAGTGAATTGATGGGCACGAGCATAAAAATACCAAGAATGTCATCTATTTACTTACTGGATTGGACTGGGATCATCATAGTTGTAGTTTTGATCGTTAGTCAAATCTCGTACCTTGGTACCATTTCGGAACTGTTCAATTTGTTGTACTCTACCTGCAAAATATAAGGTAAGTATTCACGTTGCCTGTTAGACAGCACCATATGTAAATGCGCTGAAGGATACAGGCCTTTTCTTTAATATTCTTTAGTAGGCTTCCCTTGAACCACGAATTATTTTGTGGACAAAATACCAAAATTTCGGGATATGTAGCTATGTTTTTACTTTTACATGAATCATTTTTGGTGGTTATCTTGGATTTATATTTGGACTTTATACATAGATCAGCTGTAATGCACTGTAACATACTGTGAAGTTAACATCTGCACATCGCGTCTTACTTACCTAAGTAATGCATATGGTTGGCAGCGCTAACAATATAAGCTTCAGGGGTTATAAATCTGGAAGTGCAGACTCCTGGACATAAAGCAGTCTCTTCCAGAGAAACAGTTTGTCCGGGAATCTCGAGATAACTGGCACCAACTAAGAAAGTACCAGCATCATACATTCTC